CCAGGACAAGGTACAGTCTAGCATACCAATTTCACAAGTCCCTTGTCTAGTACTAGGCAGGACTTGGTCTCAGGACCCTCTGTCAGGCTTCAGTATATTATTATAGGCTTGAGTCATCCAAGGGTATGAGTGGTATAAGGGAGTATTTACCATTGGGGGCAGCGGCCCAAGAAGGTGGCAGTGCACCGCAGGACCACTCCTTCAGCTTCAAAGGGCCCTCTGAGGTGCCAACCTCCGCTTCCCCACCTTCCGGACCAGGTCCGAGATTCACCGTGTGGACCTTGGCTGAGTTTCTCGCATCAACGCACCTGGTTAAAGCATAGCTGCAGCTTCAGACCTCTCCGATCGCTGCTGGATCTTATTCCAAAATTGCGCCCACAGTTGTTTGAAGGCCCAGGTAAGACGCTCTGCCTGTGAGGAACATGTCATGGGTACGTTGTGACCTGCAGGCTTCGTTTCAGCGGCAATCTTAGCTCGCCAGGAAACAGTCCTGTGGGAGCTGCCAGGCCCGGTCAAGGTGAGAGTGGTTGCACCCCAGTGGAGACCAGGATAACGCCCACCGGGGTGGGAGCACATTTGGTCTGTATAGCCGACCTGAGAGCAAGGTGAGTGGCCGCCTCTCCCTGCCTCAGCCGTCTGCAGGCTGCAACTTACTTTCTTCATATAACCACCAGCCGCCCGCTTGAGTATGGCAAGATTGGCGCTCACAGAGTTCTTAGGGGCACCCAGCTTGTGTTCATCCATAAAATGGCGGCAATTGTTAGGAAAAAACGGGCAATATAAAGGTTATAGACCCGGAGCTCGGTCTAAGTGCATCTGGCCAGCACAGCAGTCAGGCTCCGCCCCTCAACATATTGATTATATTGATACATATCCATAAAAATGAAATTAGTTAATAATATGAAATGCAGGGACTGGACTTGACAGCTATACCAAAAGGTCACAAAGCATATGAACTCCTCTGAACTTTTCGTAGTTTCATTGGAAATCTCAGCTTTTCCTAATAGACACTTATACCTGATATACAAAAAAAATATGTGAACATAAACCCAGTGAGAAAAGTGTATAACTAAAAACAAACCGGAACTTCCCTGTATTAGGTGAAGTATCCAGATAGGTCCCCGAAGACTTCCTCCTGTCTCCAGCAAATATATATAAAATAGAATAGGGGATGATCTGCTAAATACAGATGAAATGGAAAAACACAGCGTTTAACTGTGTGAGAGTGAGTAACACTATTTAATTTACAATTGGCCACTCACAAAGTTTAGGATGGAAAACAGCTCTGAATAAAATCCTTTCTCCAGTAATCACTGTGTTTTCTCCTCATCACACTCCCATCAATGGATTGGAATATATAACTCAAAAAGAGAAATATACAAAAAAAATGTAGTGCACCTCCAGAATGTAGTACAAAAAGAAATGTAATAACTTACATATAAGTATAAAACAAATATCACCACTGGGCGTCCTACGCGTTTCGTTCTAAATCCGGACTTCCTTAGTGTATCAATAACAATAAGAATAAGAATATAACAACCTTTCCCTCCCACAGTTCTTTTATACCCCCTGTAAAAAGTAATCATTGAATAATTTCCAGCCGGTGTTCTGTTTTAGCCGGGCGGTACTTCCTGCTTCTTTAGACGACATGACGTCATCACGTACATGACGTCATCACATACGCCGCTTGCGTTCCAGAACCCAGAAGTGAATAACAATCGTTCAATTTTACTGTTTCAAATACTCCAGAGAGTATGTAGATAGACAAAAAGAAAGGGGAGCAATTAAGAACACTCTGGATGGCACCACATAAATGTATTTCAACAGGAATTATAATATATAAATCTGTAAACTAAGAGAAAAAAAAACCAAAAAACATATATCCATTGTTAATTTACTTCTCATTAGATATGAAAAAATGCATATAAAAAATATACATACACATATGTGTAAAAAAATATATACATACATAAAAAAATATATATATATATATAAAAATATATACATAAAAAACACATATATATAAAAAACATAAAAATTAAAAATATATAAAAAATATATAATTACAAAAAATATAACCTTAATTCCACAATGGATATACATTAATTTCCATTTTCTGGATTACAATTTTTTACAATTTTTTACAATCCATATCCATAGATAAAAAATATATACATGTATACAAAAGTATATGTATACATATATATACACATCAAAATCTTGGCATCTCTTTTTAAAATACATAAGTGACTGGGTGAATAAAAGTGTAACCCCAAATTATACTGCACTTTTTCTTCTGGTTATTTATATATTTTACTTTTTTTTTCTTCTTCTTCTTCTCTCTCTTTCTCTCTCTTCTCTTTTCTCCCTTCTCTCTTTCTTCCTGTGTAATTCCAATATATTTAGAAATGAAGAAAAAATGCAGTATTTACAAAATAAACATCCATAAAACCAAAAAAAAAATAAATCCTCAAAAAAACTCCACAAATCAATATCCAGATTTAAACCAAAAGGTTGGAGTGTCTTCAATTTGTTTATCCAAAAGGTTTCTCTCTGTGAGAGTTTCCTGGTCAAATCCCCTCCTCTCCAATAAGGGTCCACATGCTCAATGCCCATGAAGGAAAAACTTTGCCAACTAAATTTATTGCAACTGTTACAATGTAGAGGTACTATATGTTTGGTTGAATTTTTTCTAATATTATTCTGATGTTCCAAAATTCTTTCTTTAAATTTTCTACACGTTCTCCCTACATACTGTTTCCCGCATGGGCATTGTAACATGTAAACCACATTTTTGGTGTTGCAATTTATATTAGATTTTATCTTAAATCTCTCCTTTGTAATAAAACTCAGAAATTCTTTCTTTTGTGTGTATTTTTGATTTTTACACGCTTTACAGGAGTTACAAGGATTAAAACCATTAACCTTGGATGTTGTACCTTTATGTGGAATTTTTAATGCATAGCTGGGTGCTAATATATATATATTTTTTGTCAATCTTTCTTTTATTGAGGCATACAAAGTGGGTACAAAATAAAGAGAGGGAAATGCAATACTGGTTTACAGTGGAGGGTTCGTACATCATTAATTTGAAGATACTACATTTCCTGAGTAGCGAAGCCTCATTTTTTTTTTTTTTTGGCTTGTTGTGTAGCATAAACATATTATAACCAGAAGCAATGCCTGTCTAGATAAACTATTAAAAGAGAGTCAGTAGGCTATATAACATCGTGGACACGCATTAGATGATTAAATTGTCAGGCTGAACATTCAAGAATATTGCAAGCTAGATAACTATCTGTATACTCATCAGTAGAAAGAACAATTTGTAAGGAGGTATCTATCCTAAACGTGCATACAGTGGTAGCTGTGCTCAAGGCTATACATATATGGCTGTGTGAGTTTACTAAAAGCTTACATTTACACTTCACTGGGCATACGACAGGTGTATACATATGTTTGAGGTGCCTATGTTTGCCCAGTTGTGTAGGTTGAGAGTATTCTCTGAGCCTCACTGTGGCAAGAGTAAGCTAAAAGGTTGTAACGATTAATCACGATTAAGTAGATAAGAGGATGCAACTGGGGTACTTTTGCCTCTGTCCTTGGGGAGAGAGGGTCTCCGCTTTGTAGGCAGGGTCGCGGGCTGCAATCCGGGTTGCATCAGCCGATGCCTGTTCTGGATGCTTTGATTGCGTTCCCTGGAAGGCGATTCAGGTGTTCCTGTGGGCCCAATCTGTGTTGACAGGTGGATTCAGTGGCACCTCTATGCTGTGATTCAGAGTCTCCAACGAGTGTCAGTGTGGACACACTCACTGCGATCCGGTAGGCGGCTGCAACCGCAGAGGGCCTCAGAGTGCCACGCTGGGCTCTGAGTCTCGGGCTCAGTGAGGAACTTGCTTGTGGGGCCTGTGCAGCACTTAGGTTCCTGCGTGGGTGAGGTCGGGTGTTTGCGCCCGTATGCCCGGGTAATGTTTCCTGTTTTGCTGGTCGTTTGCGGCTGCCCCACCGGGCAGTTGTTCTGGGGGCCCTCAGCATGGCGGCGTAATGGCGGCGTCTGGTGGCCGGGTGAAGCCACACGGCCACTGGTCTCATAGCTTGAACGTGTGTGGCTCCGCTGTTGCGGAGTATTGCCCAAAAGCTTTTACAGAGCCGATCTAGCGCTGCCATGGGCTGGGGTGATGGCTGGGTGTCTGTGCCTTTCGTCTGGGGCCTGTGCTGGGCCACCATCTTGGCTGTGCCCTGGCTGTGTTGCACCCCTACAGTCTGAGCGGCCCGTCCTCCAGTGTGCTTGATGTGGCTGGGGAGGACCGGGATGACCCCCACCGGGCCGGGGGGGAGGTTGGTTGTTTGCCGGGTCGTTCCGAGCTCGGGTGGAGCGGCCGTCTCGCCCCGGCTCCGGCTCCTGTAGGCCGCGGTGGGCGTCCTGTGCTCCTGGCCCCGACGGGCGTCAGGAGTGTGTCTGTCGCTTGTGTGGTGCACCCCTAGCTTGGGGAGTGCACCCTAATATGTCTGTGGGCTTTTTAATTGCGGGTTCTTCGTTTGATTTTGCCCGTCGGGCAGGAGCTCATGCAGTCCGCGTCCACTCCGCTTGGCGGTCAAGCTCCGCCCCCGGGTGCTAATATATTTTTACGATTTTTAGTTCTCCTAAAAATAATTGGTGTTTTTTAGGCAACACTTTACCCAATATGGGATCTTTGCATAAGATGTTCCAATGCTTATTAAAAATCTTTTTTATTTTCCAGTGTTGTATATTGTATTGCGTGATAAAAGAACATTTATAATTATTTTGAGGAATTTTTTTAGGTTTAGATGTCATTAAATCTCTTCTGTTCTTTTTTTTTCAATTTCTCCAATCTCTCCATCCAACAAGGTTGGTTTGTATTTCTTTGTTAGGAATTTATTTTTTAAGTGTCTAGCTTGCTCCTTATAGTCTGAATTTTTTGTGCAGTTTCTCCTAACCCTAATTAGTTGACTTTTTGGATTCGTTTCTAGCCATTTATCCTGATGGCAACTTTTCCTATGGATATAACTGTTGCCTTCAGTTTTCTTAAACAATCAAAATGCTTCTTTAAGAAAACTGAAGGCAACAGTTATATCCATAGGAAAAGTTGCCATCAGGATTAGTGATGTACCGAATGGTTCGCCGGCGAACGGTTCCTGGCGAACATAGCATGTTCGCGTTCGCCACGGCGGGCGAACATATGCGCGGTTCGACCCGCCCCCTATTCGTCATCATTGAGTAAACTTTGACCCTGTACCTCACAGTCAGCAGACACATTCCAGCCAATTAGCAGCACAGCCTCCCTAGCAGACCCTCCCACCTACTG